AGTTTTGACATCCATCTGCCAGATTTCATAATCATGAAAGGCAGCTATGGCGAGCAATATCCTAATAGATTTAATCTTAGCCACTGGCGAGAAGGTCTCATCATAGTCAACCCCTGGGGTTTGAGTGAAACCTTTTGCAACCAGTCGAGCCTTGAATGTGTGCACATTTCCATCCATGTCTGTCTTCTTCTTGAAGATCCATTTGCACCCAACTGTCTTACGACCTGGTGCACTATCAACCAAATTCCAAACTTGGTTGTCATACATGGACTTAATCTCGCTGTCCATTGCCTCTTTCCACTTGGAAGCCTCTGGGCCTGCCATTGCTTCCTTATAAGTGACTGGTTCATCCAAGTTTACCAGTGTTCTGTCACTTATGAATGTGTCACCATCTGAAGTAATATGAAAACCATACAACTCAGGTGGCACACTCACCCTAGTGGATCTTCTAAGAGGTAATGAGTTATCAATTGGTTCAACAGGAACTGTTTCCTCTGTTGAGTGCTAGTGTCATCTAAGGTTCCTTCATTGGCTGACTCTTGAATTTCTTCAAGATCAATAGTGCTCCCACTGTCCTCTTTGAATATGAGCTCTCTTTCAAGAAAGACTCCTCTTCGTGCTACAAAGACCACGTTCTCACTAGGCCTGTAGAACAAATATCCAAAAGACTGCTTTGGGTAACCAATGAAAACACATTTCTCACTTCTAGCTGCTAGCTTGTCGTGAGTCTCTCGTCTTACGAAAGCTTCACAACCCCAGACTTTAATATGTGCTAACGAGGGAACTTTCCCTGTCCACATTTCGTGAGGTGTTTTGGCAACCTTCTTTGTAGGGACAAGATTGAGGATGTGGGCGGCTGTCTCTAAGGCATACCCCCAGAAGTGAATAGGAAGCGAAGCCCGACTCATCATAGAACGAACCATGTCTAACAAGGTTCGATTGCGCCTCTCAGCTACACCATTTAACTGTGGTGTCCTAGGAGGAGTCAATTGTGAGACTATCCCACATTCTTTCAGATAGTCGTTAAACTCGATACTAAGATACTCCCCGCCTCTATCGGATCTAAGTATCTTTATCTTTCTGCCCAATTGATTTTCGACTTCATGCTTAAACTCTTTGAACTTTTCAAAAGTTTCTGACTTATGCTTGATCAAGTAGATATATCCATATCTGCTATAATCGTCAGTGAAAGTCACATAGAATCGATTAGCATCTCTTGTAGTTGATCTGAAGGGCCCACACACATCCGTGTGTATGAGATCCAACAGACCTTCACCTCTTTCACAAGACCCTGTGAATGGTGATTTTGTCATCTTTCCCAAAAGACAAGATTCACACATATCATCTGATTTTAGGTCAAATGATTCCAACACTCCATCTTTTGGAGTTGGGCTATGCGTTTCTTGTTAATGTGTCCAAGACGACAATGCCACAAGCATGCCTTGTCTACACTATTAGACAAGTCAATATTAAGTACACTATTTCCTAGGCTATCAACACAAGTCACTGTTTCATACACACCATTACAAGGCAAAGCTTCAAACATAAAAACACCATTCTTATAAATAGAAATTGAACCATTCAAATCATTAAAAGAATATGTAAAACCTTGTCTGAACAATGCATGAAATGAAATAATGTTTCTCGTCATCTCAGACGAATAGCAACAATTTATTAAATCTAATCTAACATCATTACTAAGCAGAAGCTGATAAACTCCGATCTTGGTTACTGGTGAAGACTTTCTGTTTCCCATGATCAGGTTTATCCTTCCTCGCTCTATCTCCTCACTTTCCTTTAGACCCTGCAAATCAGAACAGATATGAAAACCACATCCTGTATCAAGGACCCATGAACGAGAAGATAATGAGTTATTAGCAGAAATAGTGTAAATACCTACTGAAGATGGCTTCACTTTGCCATCCTTGATATCTTGCAGATATTGTGGGCAAGATCTCTTCCAATGCCCCTTTTGGTTGCAGTAAAAGCAAACTGCCTCTTTTGGATCAGAAACATGGGGAGTGGAACCATTGGGCTTAGCCTTTGGGCCATTATTAGATGACCCAGCTTGAGCCTTGCTCTTCCAGTTTTGTTTGGGATGACCTTTCCTCTTTTTCCCCTTTCCCTGTCCAATAGCCAAAACAGGGGCACTCGTAGGTGTGGAGGGTATACTTTTACCCTTCATCCCTACCTCAGCTGTCTGCAACAAGTTGTGCAATTGGGCCAAGGTCTGCTCAGTATTGTTCAAATGGTAAGTTAGAATAAACTGACCATAACATTCAGGAAGTGAGTTCAAGACCATGTCAATGGCCAATTCCTCATCAAAGTGAATATTGAGCTTGACCAAACGCTCTATGTAGCGTTGCATTCTTTGCACATGTGACACAACCGACTCCCCATCTTTCATCTTGCAAGCCATGAGTGACTTGACTACTTCTAACTTTTCTTGACGAGCTCGCTTATGGTACTTTTCCATAAGGTCCTTGTTCATCTCGAAAGGCCAGTAGTCCTCATAGTACCTCTGCAGTTCTGGGGACATAGTTGCCACCATGATGCATGCCACTTTGGTAGCATCATCGTAATGTTTCTTGTAGGCAGCAAGATCTTCAGGAGTAGCTTCATTCTCATCAAGCTCTTTGAGCTCCTTTTCAAGAACATATTCTTTGTTCTCGAAACGAAGAGCCATCTTGATGTTGCGCATCCAATCGTTATAGTTTGAGCCATCCATAACGACTTTGGAGCAGATATTGAGCAAAGAGAAGTTTTGGTTGGAGGAGGACGAAGCAGAAGTGTTTCCAGGAGTAGACATCTGAAAAGAAAGAAAGTTTTAGTTAGATTTCAAGATACCTTAATAGAATAACCCAAAGATATAATATCAAGGTTAGGATCCAACTATGAAGATTCACAACTTAGAAATGGGATGCCGAGATCCAAGTGCAAATTTCATAAAGGTAGGTGAATGACGATTCACCAATTCCACCATTAGACGAAACAAACGAAGTGAAATTCCTAATTCTTTTGAGATACATTGAAACTATTCAATGGCATGTTTTATTCTCAGATTATGCTCTTCTATTTGTGACTGGGATGCCGAGGATCACAAACAAGATGTGAATAACCATGCAAATGTGCTTGGTAACCTCATTGTCTTTATCATTAACTATTGATGTGCTTGTAAACCACACACGCTCCATCAAATGACAATTATGAGATACCCATTACTACTCTTTATTAGTGCCTTTTAGTGTGCTGGTTAACCACACACGCTCCACTAACGACCAATAAAGCATAATGTGCAATTTCATGGATTAGCATACTTTTCACATTTTTCCTAAAGTAACTAGAGTTGGGATTTTGAAAATAATGTTCTAGTACTTTCTTTAATATCATTATACTTTTAATGAGAAGTAGTTGTCCTATCAAATCCGTTCTGCTAACGACCCTCCACTAATCAAGGAAGCGGTGGGTGAGAGTGGACACCCATTCAACTACCATTTTATAGGCAGTTTCCTTATACCCCCCTTATAGATTAGCTTCGTGAATGAGGCATACTAGCGATTTGACTGACCATGTTCTTATACATATATAATATTAAACTTTTAATTATAATATATATATATAAGGTGTGTTTTAAAACATTTTAAAACTTCAAGGGTTTATAAATTTCAAAATTTAAGCTATTAAATTTAAATTTAAATAAACCAATTAACTAGATTTAATATTTATCTTTTAATTAACTATTAATCAAATTATTAAATCTTGTAAGGATTATCTAATTAAATTAATCCATTAATTTAATCCTAATCCTTATCCCTCTAAATTTCGAAAATTAGGGTAAGGATAATTATCCAATTAATCTAATTAAGTAACAATTATCCAAAACAAGAAACCCTAGTTATCCTCTAGCATATTTCGAAATTTACAAGGGAGGAGGCTAGGGTTTTCAAAACCCTAACCCTAATTTCGATTAGGGTTCTTTGGAGGCTAGGGTTTTCGAAAAAACCCTTTGATCCAAAACCCTAGAAATCGAAAATTTGGCCTTTAGGGTTTAATAGCTATAAACCCTAATTTGCAATTCAACAATTGTAGCAATTCAATTTAAAACAACAATGGCTCTGATACCACTGATGGGTTTTAGGTACAATAAATAAACTAGAAAACAATTCCTAAGTTCACATGCAACCTACTTTGGATCTATGTTTTAACTATTGAACATACAACTTTGAATTGCAAAACAAGAACCTTAGAGGAGAGAGGCTAATTTCGAAATTAACAAACTAGGGTTTAGGGTTTACATACCTTTCAATTGCTATAGCAAGCAATTGATATTCCCTTGATCTTGATCTTGATCTTCTTGGAAGCTTTAGCACCACAAGTGTAATGCCTCTAATGGAATCACACCCAAACTAGCAAGAAGGAAAGTAGAAGAAGAGAGGGGAGAGGGAGTATGCAAAATCTCGGCCTTAGGGTTTCTTCAAAAGAAACAGTCACCAAAAACATGAACCAGGAGGCTCCTTATATAGCTGAGGGATCTAGGGTTTAAGGGAAACCCTAGTTATCCTTTGCTTAGGGCCTAAGCAAACCCAAGGGCCTTATCCAAGCCCATATGGACGAAATTATTAGGGTTTCCCCTAAAGATTTCGTCCACCCTCTTCCAAGGGGGTTCTAGAGCCTTCCACTCAACTATTAGATAATTGCAAACTAGTCCCTGCACCTTATAATTAATTCTTTTAACCCCAAAATCAATTCTGATTAATTTCTGGCTAACAATTAATTAAACATAATGATTTCTAATTAATATATTAATCCATTAACATATTAATAAATCATTATATATATATATATATATATATATATATATATATATATTAATTAATCTTATAAATTAATATCTCTCCTTTCATAATTTCCTTGTCCAGTTGCTAGGTTGAGGGCAACCCAAAAGGACTGTGCTGCTATCAATTCAAGTACATACCAATTATAGTTAAGGGCTTAGACACCTAATCCAACAAATCCCTCACTGGTGAAGAATGGCCCAATATTGTATCTTCAGGTGGTGTGTCAGGAACTACTTCTTCGTCAGTTGAATCTTCTTGCAACACCAGTTTCCTTTGTTTCTTTTGTGGCTTTTGTTTCTTTGAAATCTTCTTTGCCATATCTTCTGCTCTCCTTTTCTTGGTTTGTGGTGAAACAGGAACGGGTATTTCACAAATGAGAATCCCCTTTCGACCAATTTGTGGTTTTCTAACAAACGAAGGTGAAAAACTTCCAGACCTTTCAGGAGAATGACGAGACTTATGAGCCATTTTCTTGAGCCGTTTGAGAACACCAGTTTTTGAAGATACCACATCCTTCAAAGGATCAACATTTTCAGTAACAACAAACTTTGATCTTGATTTCAAAGCTTTTACTTTAACTATGACCTTCTTTGGAGATTTAGCTGCTTTTTCCACTAAAACAACTTTCGAAGGGCTTGGATGATCTTCCTTCTTTGAACCTCTCCTTGTCTTCGAAGGACCTTCGGTTGTCTTCTCTAACAACTTCCCAATTTCAACATCAGGATTTATCGTAGTCAAATAATTCACCAACACAGGATGCAGAGGATCAACTTTTCGAAGCATTGCATCAGGAATTCTAGCAACACTTGGAAAAATTTCAGCATCATCTTCAACAGCTTTAGGAAACTGATATAAACCAAAAGTAGCAGTTTCTTCGTTTTCAGGGACTGGAATACCCTCTTTGTTATATACAAACTAAAGAATAAGACTTCAGTATCTAGCACACGAGACCCCATCAACACCATTCGTGTTTTCAATGCTTTTGGTAAATTCTTTCTAGAGTTGTGTCGCATAATCCACCTATAAATCATAGTAAATGCCAGCCACCATAACATATACTTCCAGCCTTCCTTTGTCTAATCCCACACTTCGACCTGTCAAGCATCGAAGATAAATTCCAAAGAGAAAATTCCAAATACACGGCAACCCCGATTTCTTGAACTCACTGATCTTGGTGAGAGTAGGTTTATAACCCATCTCATTGAACATGTGAATCACTTGTTCATTCGAGACTTTGTAAAACGGCTCACAATTAGGGATGTTCAAGATTTAGGCGAACAACTTCTTTGAGAGTCTGAACTTCTTGTCGTTCGTCAATTGAAAAGTAACAATCATCATGGTTTTGCTGTAATGTTGCAGTAGAACTAGCCATAGATAACCAAGACATTGGAACATCAAAGGAGTTGAACATGGCAGTAGACAACACAGAACTCTTGAGAGCCACAACGAGCATCTGTAAGCCCTCCGGATAAACACTTTCATCACCTTGAACTTGAAAGTTTGTACTTTGAATCTTCATCAATGGTTGAGACGAAACATCTTCTATGGTTTGTGATTGATGAGCAACCATGATTAGGGTTTGGAAAAGACCTTGAAGAAACAGAGAATATGAGTGCACAAATCTTTTGAGAATAAACTGTGAGCGTAAAATTGGAATGGATCCCCCAAATCTCCTTTTATATGTAACCACAATTTGAATCCCAAAGGGTTAGCATTCATAGACTTGCCACGTGTTCCTTGAAAGTCGTACCCTTAGCCGTAAAGCACGCCATGTCAGGAAAAAGGGATGAGTTATGTACCCTAGAAAAGCGCACAGTAACCAAACCATCACATCACACGTCGTTTCGAAAGCCCCCAGTGGATAAGAACCGTTAGAAACCTTCGGAATTGAGGTTAGGCTCTTTCACTTTTGGGTTTAAAAGCGAAGTCATGTGCCAGACTTTCGAAATCATTAACCTGAGTTGGTAATACTCATAACCTCGAGGATTTCGTGAGTGCATGTGTGCCAATGAAAAAGATAACAAACAAATATAAGAAAATTTGGATCAGTGATGTCGAAAATCAAAATTTCAACATAAAGGCAGTTAGATCCCAGGCAAAGATCGCTTCGCTAATTATCAAGAGAGATAATCAACAGCTTGTGTGGTTTCCCGTGAAGTACAATCGAATACTTGTAGAGAAGTATCGAAGGGCTTCTTTTATCAATTTTCAAAGGTGGTTTAAGATTTCGTTACAAAGCACATCTAAACATAAGAGTGACAAGTTGTAAACGAAATTACTTGTGTGACCAGTGTAGTCAGTGACAAGTAGGCTTTGGAAAATGTATTAAGTAACGAAGGTTAAGAATGACACTCATACATAAATCATATTCTTCAAACCAAAAGTATTCCTGAATCCTGTCGGGAAACAAATGTCGTGGGTTTCGAAATATTGATCAAGATTACTACAAAAGAAAGAATATGATTTTGAGTATCGAAAATGGGTAGAGAAACAAAAGTTTCGTTAATATCTGGAACAAAGTTCCCCGTTAATTCCTTATGTTTCGAAAGTTTGAGTTTCACTTTCATCACGGTCTCATGATGTTAGATCATAAACACAGAAGTTTGATATGTCTAGATCCTGATTGGTGTATACCATAAATCTCTTGGACATATGTCATTGTGTGTGAATGTGAAAGAACTTTAGGATGAAAAAGATTGGTTTAAAGATTTGAAAGTACCACTGTTATTCATTGACCAAGCAGAAAACTCTAAACTCAAATGAGTTGAGTATGGTAGCTCACTGACTAATGGGAATATAGCCTAGTTGGGAAGAATCCTCAGAATGAGGGATTCATTAAGGCTTCGAAACCCATTGAGTCTTGGAGGCTTGGGTCGACATGCTGCAGCATGCTTCTAGGGACTTCCTAACTAGTACATAGTTTCGAAAGTATACCTTTCCCTTAAGCAGCAAGCATGAACCATCAAAAATCTTCGCGGATACCTACACACAAAAAGAAAAACACAAACAAGACACAAAATATTTTTGGATTTTTGAGTTTTTGAATGAAAATAAAAAAAACGAAAAATCTTTTTGGTATTTTTGAACTTTTAATAACAAAAGACAAAAATGAAAATATTTTTGGTGTTTTTGATATGAAATGAAAATGCAAAAGTAACGAAAAATCTTTTTGGTATTTTTGATATTGAAATTGAAAGACAAAACTAACGAAAATTTAAGAAATGACTAAACTAACGAAGATTTTTGTCAAACTATTTGAGCACAATGTTGAAAGCGAAGCATGTCGAAGCGTTGACTATGAACAGTAACCACTGAATCATGAACAGTAACCGTTGAATCGACATCTTTTCGACACTTGTGGCTTGTCATTCTAACGAAAGTAGTCCAGGAACTGAATTTGCATTCATCATCCCTAAGCCATTTAGAATTCTTACAAACGATTTTTCATCCAAAGGTTTTGTAAAGATATCAGCAAGCTGATCAGTGGTCTTTACAAAATGAACTTCTATGTTTCCATCTTCAACATGATCTTTAATAAAATTATAACGAAGAGCAATGTGTTTGGTTTTTGAATGTTGCACAGGGTTATGGCAGATGCAAATGGCACTTTGTGAGTCACAATACAACGGGATTTTCTTCATGTTGATTGCATAATCACGCAGTTGAGTTTGTATCCATATGATTTGTGAAGTGCAAGTTGCAGCAACAACATACTCTGCTTCTGCTATGGAAATCAAAACACATGTTTGCTTTTTCGATTGTCAGCTTACTAACTTCCCATCCAGTAGTTGACATCCGCCACTTTTGTTCTTTCGATCAAGATTGCAACCTCCCAAATCAGCATCGGAAAATGCTTGTATGAAAAAGCATGTCTTCGAAGGATACCACAATCCTAACAACGTTGTTCCTTTGAGATAACGAAATATATTCTTTACAGCAGTTAAGTGAGGTTCCCTGGGATTTGATTGATAGCTAGCACAATTGCATACAGAAAAAAATAATATCAGGTCGACTTTCCGTGAGGTAAAGTAACAAACCTATCATGCTTTGATACAATGTGATATCAACAGTTGGTTGGTCCAATGATGGATTTAGCCTTGTTCCAACAGCCATTGGTACTCTCAGCTTCGTGCTATTCGTCATTCCAAATTTTTCCAGCAGATTTCGTGTATACTTCTCTTGATTGATAAATATTCCTTCTCTGCTTTGACGAATGTTTAATCCCAGAAAATTATTTATCTTCCCCATCATACTCATTTCAAACTGGCTTTTCATTAAATTTTCAAATTCTCTTGACAAAGCAGGGTCCAAAAATAATATCATCGACATAAATTTGAACAAGCATAAGATGATCCCCAACTTTCTTTCGAAAGAGAGTGGGATCAACTGATCCTTGTTTAAATTTCGATTGTTTTAAGAACTTGGTAAGAGCTGCATACCATGCTCTTGGTGCTTGTTTTAACCCATATACAACTTTATATAAGATATAACAATGATTAGGGAATTCTTCGTTAATAAAACCTGGAGGTTGTTCAACGTACACTGTCTCTTCGAGTTCACCGTTGAGAAAAGCACATTGTTTGCTCGGACTGCATAATAGCGATAATTCTGTAACATACCCTCGAACAAAACGTCTTTGGATATGCCAAGAACTCGAACTATTTTCAACAGTGACCATATATCCTCCTCCTTCTTCCCAAGTACAGCATGAAAGCGAAACTTTAAACGTTTGAATTCAGTCTTATCCTTGTATTTGTCAGCAAGTTCGAATTGCTCATCCAGGAACATCATTCTATTCACTGGAAAATCTAGTTGATTTAGATTTGTGTTTACAGTGTCGAAACTTCTTCTAGGAATCTTTTCAAATTCATGCATTGCCCCTGTCACTGTCAAAGCTTCGATATATTCATAGTGATATATCTTTGTTGGATCACCTTTGTTCAGACCAGGAGGATCATTTGCATGTTGTTTCAAAAGGCTTTGAACATGCCTTTGTTTTTCTATCTCTACTTCTTGAACAGCTTTGATATCTTCTTTCAAAGGTTCAATAATGACACCTTTGCCTTTGCCTTTATCAACTTCAGTTGGCTTAGGCTTTGAAGAACCTGATTCTCCACCAGCTGACCCAATAACTATACCCTTCATTATTGGTCTTGTTGTTGTTGTGTTTGATGACGAAACAAGTGTTGTTGTTGGTAAAGATGTTGGAATTTAAGTGGTCAATACTCTTCCAACCACCTTGGCATCACCTTCCACATTTCCAGAACCACTTCCTCCAGTATTCACTTTCGAACCAGTACCAACACCATCCTTTTCGATTTCGATTCATCAGTCCCGTAGTAATTTTGACTTTTATCTTTTCGTTGACCACGATGAACACTAAATCGAGATCTGATTGTCGGTAAATATGGACCAATGAATAATAATGGATCAATTTTATTGAATTGGGCTCCATCAAAGATATCGGATTAAAAACAAATCAATGAAATTGGCTGCAAATTTGGATTGATAAACAGTAGAAGATCGAGATTGTTGTTTGGGTTAAAAAATTAACAATAAAAGGCTTAAAAATTGTGTTGAGATTTAGGCTTGATCTAAGAAAAAATGTATTGGATCACCAATGGGGTTGAAATGGATTAGATCCAATGACCATTATGAAGCAATAGATAAACGGATTAGAAAAAACGAAACACTTGCCATGCATGGTTGTTTGCTAGATAAAGGGATGTAAAGCAATGAGGTGTCACTCCATTTGTAAATTCTTTTCTTTTTCCTTTTTTTGTCTTGTGCCAAACCCGAAACCTCATAGGGTTTTTGGTCATGGGTTATTTGAGCCGAGAACCTCTAAGCAAAGGCCCAAAATTTGGTTTTTGGTTTAGCTATTAGATCATACTTGAGCTTTTTAGGGGTTGTTACAACTCGATTATTAGTGTATGCATATATGTACTCATATAACATTGTCATTTATGAATTTCAAAAATCTAATGCAACAAGGTTACATAGAGAAATTTTTTGTACATGAATACAATCTCGATCCTAAATTTGCTAGTTATGACATCTCTCCTCTCATCCTATTGCAAAGAGTGTTTGTAAGTCATTAGAGGTGTCACATTTGAGGCACTTGCTCTCAAGAGTTCAAGATCATCAAGGTTTCATTGTTATTACTACATAACAATAAAGGTATGCATCTAAACCCTAGTATTGTATAGATTTCGAAATTTGTATTAGCTTCCTAGGGTTTCTCTCTTGTATTCAAGTTTGCATGTTCAACTAGTAATAACCTAGATCCAAAGCATTGGGGTTGTATGAACACATAGGATTTGTTTTTATGCTCAAAAACCATCTATATATATATATATATATATATATATATATATATATATATATATATATATATATATATATATATATATATTGTATGTGTATGTGTGGATACTTTCAAGCAAGAATCATGTAAAGATGAAAGGGCTTTTACCATCCAACTAAAGAAAACAAAGGAAGAAGCTAATTTCTCTCTTTGTGTATAGATTTATTTTGAAGATCATATAATTATCCATGAATCCTAATTTTTAGGGTTTGGCCGAATGGTTAAATTAAGTTAGATAATTATAATTTAAGTTGTATAATCATGTTATTCACAATAAAATAACATTTGTTGGACTTGATTACTTAGTTAATTTTTATGAGCTAAATTTCAAGATTATTAGACAAAATCATGTAGGAATATTATGTAGGAAATAGGTTCATATGACTTGTAAATTTGTGAAAGGAAGTAATATAAATCATCAGGTTGATATGAACTTGAAATTAAAACATGGGACAACATCATGACTATGATCTTAGTTGTTATGGGATGACATAAGTTAAGGCAGTCACATGATTATATGAAATTAGTATGTAAAAATCATTTAACAAGAATATGATTAATCAATTAAATGGGAGTTGAAGGTTCAAGAATTCAAGGAAATGACAAAGAGATAATTGTTTCATAGTTAGACAACATAAGTATTAAGGTGAGTACATATATTTTTATCATGGGATACATGAAAAAACAAGTTATTCTTTTATAAACCAAAGTGCTAAGTTTCATATAAGTATGAGTATTTGCAAACTTCAAAAGTGTTAATGTTTTGTTTTGAACCAAAATCTTGAAGTATGAAACATGATTATTACCTTGATTCTTTATAAGAAACATGTTATGAGTATATAGATATAAAAGACATATGATGCTAGTTGATTTCACAAACAAGACTTAGTCTTGTAGGTTAAAGTTTTTATATTGTTATGAATTAAATTTTGAGTGTGTTTATAATTTTGGATTATTTTAGGAATCTTGAATCATGATTATTTGGAAATTTGAAACATATTATTGTTTTGTCTTATATTTTAAAGGTATGGGTTATTATTTCAAAGACATAGCATGCTAATTTATTTATATTTGACTTTGGTGAGTTTGTACCTAGTTTAAGTTTGATTAAGTTGTTTTCATGAACACATTTATTGTTTTAATGCCTAGACAAAAAGTATCTCTATAATCGGATAAGCTTGAAGGCTCTACTGGGATAGTACCTCCCATCACGAACTAGATGCCTAGACCATAGATACCATAGTGAGTTGATTTGTTCTTCTCGCTTTGGTAAGTAAGATAGAGTGGAATATGTGAAGTCACTATATTAGGTCTTTAATCTACGTACAATATTTTATACAGAGCTAGAGATGGTGAAACCTGTAAGGTTTTCAGTTGTTTTATTTTGTGATCATGCATTGTATATTGTTTGTCTATTCAATAAGTTATTTGAGTACAATTTTATTGAAAGTTTAAATTTTGCATTGAGCTTTGCTTATCTTTGCATGAAGTTTGTTTTGAAAAAAGGTTATATTAAAAGTTTTGAACAAGTTCGTGTATTTATATTTCATTGTAAAAATTTGCAAATATTCCAAAATTTTCTATAAAATTATTTATATTGCTTTTTGGTATCAACTATGCTATTAAGGTATTAAGCTCTAAAACTTCATGATAGATAATTTACAATTCTCCCTTCTAAAAAATAGATAATTTCCAATTCTAAATACTACACATGGATGGAAGGATATGCTAACACATACAAGTTTATAATTTCTTATATAAAGAACTCAAACTCAATAACAGATAAATACGCTCTACAGTTGCCTTTAAACACTTATCCACAATTTCTCTCGAGTGTAAGTCGATCGCAAATTCGTGATGATACCATAATTAAATAAAAGAAGTTGAATCTCTTATCAACTACGCCTTCACCAATCTCTTCTTTAAGTTTTTCATTTATAACCTTATGTATCTTAAAATTGCAAACAACGTTGATTAATATAAGAATTATGTATCCATTTTATTTAGTTATTATTCTAATTACAAAATCACTTCTAACATAAAAAATTCAACTATTGATTACACAAGATATATGGCCCTTTGGAAGAACTTTTTTTTTTCTTTATTTCACTTTTGGCTGTGTATCTAAGGTGCTGTTTGTTTTTTCTGAGGCAAAATATCTGCAGTCTGCGGACCACATCTGTAGACCTCTACAGTAAAAGAGGTGGACCAAACGTCTACAGTCTGAAAAAAGAAGACTGTTTTGTTTTTTTAACATCTGCGGGCTACTAAAATAATTAAATTCTAAATAAACTGATTTTTTTTAAAACTTCAAAGTGATTTTTTAATATTTTTATGACTTTGTTATAAATAATTAACAAATCTAGATCAACTTTTATGTATTATTTTAAAAAAAATAAAAATAAAAATGGTATGAATTAACATATATATTTGATAAAAACCAACAACTTTGGTTGGAAAGTTATAACTAAACTATTATAATTAGTGATAAAAGAATTTGATACATAAATGGATGGAAATAAACTTCGATTTTTTCAATTAAATCCATTAAAAACGTACCATAAATATTTTCTTGAGAAATTAACGATATTGTATTAAATAATGTTTTAAAAATTTTGGCAAAAAATATAAGAATATATTATGAGTTTTTTTTCATATTTATTAAACAACTTCAACGACTATTATTATAATAAATCTTTATTTATAAATTTGTCAAAAATATCATGTCTGTATCGTCGAACATTTTTTTTTTTTTAGTTTTGTAATTTTATTTTCAAATTGTTTATCGTTAATAAAGATGGAAAAATATAATTAAAAAAAAACTTAAAAAAATAAAGATATATATGTTTTTTTAGGCTTGAAGATGTTAGAAGACTTTGGTCCACATCTGCGCCAAGAAGAGGGCGCGCAGACATTTTTAGGTCTGCAGTCTTCAAAAAAACAAACAGTCTGCGAACGCTAATGTCTGCGCGTGGTCTGTACGGAGCAGACAGAAGAGGTCACGCAGATTTGCAGACAAAAAACAAACACTACCTAATTCTTCATTGTTGACAACCCCACCCTATTTCTTACATTGAAAATCATCTTCGATCGCATACCTACTGAAGTGTCTATTATGAATTGATATTAAAATAAAAATTGCAATATCTGAAGGTATATCATATTTGTAGTGTTTGTTTTTTAAATCTTTTCTAATTATCTAATGAAGTCTTGATTTTTTATAAGCAAAAATAATAATAATATAATAATATTAATAATAATAATAATATTATTAATAATAATAATAATAACCCCGAGTCCTATCATATAATTTGTAATCTTTTAAAAACATGCGCTATTACTTTAAAACGAATTGACAAAACATTAAATTAAAAAAAAAAAAAAAAACATAACTACATTAGATCTTTTTGTCAAATATATAAAAGATAATAAAAGTATTAAGCATATAGTTTATAAAAATATAACAAGAGAAATACTATATAAACCATTCTGAAGTTGATATTTGATATTAAAATGGATATTACAGAACATTTAATAATTGTCAAAAAATAATTGAGATTTGAAGTTTCTATATAATCAGAGAAGTACAAGTTAAGTACTATTGATAACCTTTTGAGAAAGTCACAACCATTATTGAATAAATGTTTGAAATATCAAGGTGAAAGCCACAAGTATCTTTGACGTCCCTTCATTTTTGTAAGTAAAGTTGATTCTTAGCTTTTACACAAAAGGCTACTGCACTCCTCCATTCATTATTGTAAGTGCTAACTGGAGCCCACCAATGTAAGAAAGATCTTTTGAAAGCTGTCATAATCTAGCGTAAGAAACAACATCTTTTCAAAGCTGCTGATAATCTTCCACACGTCTATAATTCTCAGGTATGTTTACGAAAGAGCATAATAGCATCATCATCGTTTAACAAACTAATATTGTGTATAACATCTACCTTGTGAGCATTTAATTAATGTTCATCTCTAGTTGTGATTATTATTCGTCTTCCTTCACCGAACCAATCACGTGACCCAACCAACGTTTTTAAATTGTTAACGTGATCCACATCATCAGAAACAATCGCCCTTTCTATGGCAAAACCTAAATGTTAGCTGACTCACATGATTGGTTCGTTGTAGGAAGCCGAATAATAATCACAACTAAAGATGAACATTTATTATATGCTCACAAGGTAGATGTTATACACAATATTAGCTTGTTAGACGATAACGGGGCTGATAGGCTCTTCCACAAACATGCACCCCAGGATTATAGACTTTTGGAAGATTATAGACCTATGGAAGATTATGAGTTGCTTTCAAAAGATGTGTGTTTTTTATGCTGGTGGGCTCCCGTTAGCATTTAACGTCCTCGATTGTTTTCTGTGTGACAAAGACATTAATGAGTAAGCATATTTGTTAAACCATATTTTTATGCTGGTGGGCTCCCGTTTACATTCTTTTCCATAAATAAATTTATCTTGTAATTTTGTTAAACCACACGTTCTTGAGTCCTCTTGAATATTTGAACAAAACAGCAACCATCAACTTGATAGAGATTTCATCATAAATCGAAGATGCAAGAGTAGTCTTACCACCTCCCCCAACCCCCCATTTCCAATCATGCGCAAACCACTTGAGTCAATTTGTAACTTTGATTTCAAACTTTGCATACGAGCATTTGTGCTTGATTTTATTAGCTACAACCTCTGTGAAATTGTGTAAACAGTTTGTTTGACGCCCTTTGATTCATACCTACACATCAGATATACAAGGATAATTAACATACTAACATTGACAACATCAAAAGTAATGAACATATCTCCACTAGTTGTGATTACTAATCAAAAGATCAGGTCAGAGCCTTTCCTCATTATCATCAGCGACATGTAAGGATAATCAAGACATTTGTACAAAATGCTTATAAGGTACAAGTGCAAATTTCTTGTATAGCATCACATATCTTAAGCATAAAAAGTGCAAAATCAAAAAAGAAAACTACCTGTTAGCGATTTGATTCGTCTACAAGATTCGACTTTGTTCTTGTTCTCTAACTCATGTTTCACAAATGCTTCTCCGTATTTCCGTTTTTGTTTTCGCACTTAAGATGGATCCACATCATAAAATATGGGCATAACGATTTTCCCTCTCGTATCTTTGCATTAAATAATATACTCAAGTTCAACTAAACACCATGAAGAATCTGCATAGTTTTTAGAGAATACGATGATGACAATATCTGATTTTTTGATTGCCTTCTTAAAGGATGGGTCGATCAATAGTATTTTGTCATCCTTGTAAGTGTAGATCCCTTGTTGCACAAAAGTTGTGTAAACATGATCCACAAAAGTCTTGCGAGAATCTGTTCTAAAACTAAGAAAAACATTGTGATTCCATGATTGAGATGAAAAGACGGAGCTGAAGGAGAATGTGATGATGATGATGCCATTGATGTGCTGATTTATTGACATAGAATGATTGTGGTTTGAGCACCTGAAATAAATAAATTGTTTATAAAGATATGTGAGCTTCCAAGAAATTTCGAATTTACCGAAAGCTATAGAAATATCAAATATCTTATCACTTAAGATTTTCAAAGAGATAGAGTTTCCTAGAAATTTCTTAACATATGACATTTTCAATTGAAAAAATAATTAAATAAGAAAAATCGCCCCTATGTTACACTGACATTTCTGATATTGTCCATATCTTCCGTTCATACAATTCTTCCTCTGTTTCAGACATTTCCAAAAATAGAGCATATATAAGATCCTCAATTTCATCATATAAATTTTCAAGGTTTAACAGACTGATTAAAAAAATGGTTCCATAACTCGATTCGATTCTCTATGATGCTAGATCTCACGTATTTACTACGGAGGTTGTTACAACCAGCATGAAATATAAAGAAATTAGAACATGTTCATAATGCAATCCGACACAAGTAACCCAGATAGTATTTTCTAGAAACTTTAATTTCAATTCCACGATTATCACATTTATCAAGCAAAAACTCGAGTACTAGAAATAATTTGATACAGCAAAAGGTAGCAGAAAAAACAGCAGCTACAGCAAGAACGAAGCATGTAACAGAGACAATTTAAATTACTTACTTGTTTGTTGATGTCAATCCGTTTGACCAACACGAAGCATTTTATTTCACATTCAAATCACCAATTTGCTTCAAGCACCAAACATGTGAAGTATGTGAAGATCAGCGAAGGAAGCTTCGGATCGTAGGGAGGGCGTGATGGAAGCAAATCGGAGGTGGAGGCGTGATGGAGAGGAGAGTGTTTATTAGGTTAAATATACGGCCCCTTTTATGAAGTCCTGGCCCATAAGCTGCACACCATATGACCCGGCCTGACACACTACTGGCCCTTTTAGAGTTTGGGTATACTCCCTTCCTAGTCCGGTCTAAGGATGTAAATAGGTCCAAAACCAGCCTGACAGCCTCAATCATAATGGAACCGAAAATCGGATTATGTAATTATAGTAAACAAAAGATCCGACCATTTAGAAGAAACCGGTTCTGGTACGAAAAAGGAAAGAACCGTTTTTTTAGGACATGGTTGTTTTGAATTGTGAGCAAATGCAGGGGATGTTATTGTTTTTGTAATAATAAGTTACCCTCGTGCAAAAGGTTCATACCGTCGACTAAATTCTTATAATTTAGGTATAAGCCATATATTAGTCTTGCATAATAAAAACTTTATTGAGCGCACGTATTTTGCAACGTATTTAGTAATTCACATGGGCCTAAAATGATATCTTTAGGATGGACAGTAGGGGTCGGGGGAGAAGGACGGCGATACCATGCGGTAATAGACAATGGCGGAGCTTCAATATTTCATTTGGGGGGCCGAAAAATAATTTGTATAAAAATTGGTGAACAGGGGTTCATAGTCAAAATTTTATATTTTTGGACTAAATATGTATAAAGTTAAAGAATAGGGACTATTTATGCCAAAAAAATCAGAGGGGGGGGGGGGGGGGGGGGGGGGCTGTCCCTTGAAAAGATCCGCCCATGGTAATAGATCCTTCAAAGAATTCATACCGCTAAAGGGAAGACATGCAGGTATATCAAAACCGCCTCTCTCTCTCTCCAACATTTGTACAATAGTCTTCAACAGTTGTACTATATATTGCTTTATATTAGTTTTTAAATAAATTTTGTATGTTTTTAGTATTGGTGAATTACTTTATGTAATTTTAATTAGTTTGTGTTTATTTAAAATTAAAAATTAAGTGGCATATGATGAATAAAAAATATAGGTTTCCATTTTTGTGGAATTGGAAAGATAGAAGAGAGAGAAATAGAAGATATATAAAATCAAAAAGGTTAAGTGAGTTGGGATGCATGAGTAGTACCTTATGTCCCCTGGGAAATGTTGAATGGTTAATTGTGGGAGTTGATTTAATTTTGACTATTGTTTGGAAAATTGTTTAAAAAAATAGGGAAGTTGAGTAATTTAATAATTTTTAGTTTATAGTTAAAAAAATCAATCTTTTTAAAGTAACCATTGTGTTTGGAATGCCCATTTCGGACGAGACCAAAACAGGTCAAGCATACTATTGTAGCTCAATGTTTATATAATATGGGCCCCACACCTTAGTCAGAAAAACATTTTGAATTTGAAAATTTCGAAGCTCTGAGACCGCCCGCATTCGGAGAGGTTTTAAAATGGAGTCATCCAACCATGTCAAATTAACTCTTTAAGTAACATGCATTTAAGTTTGCAAATAATTATTTGTATTATGGAATACGTAGATCATGTCTCGGAATACGAAGAACAAGTCGAAATATCTATTTTTGTTTTTTTTAGATATATAAACCCATATAATATCTTAAAATATGTAAATCATCATTTTTTAGTCAGAATACAAGGGATTTCATAATGATAGT